TACGGCTTTTCGAATGGTGTAAATTCATCTGGGTCTCTCTCGCTATCTGTCAGTCCGACTCTCTCGCTCTCGCTCGCTCTCTCTCGCTCTCTCTCTCTTTCTCTTCAGTTCCACCAACCACTAGCCCTTGGAGGTCGATCTCACTGTTCAGCCAACACGAGAAGCACTCTTGAGATGTGGGGCCATCTGTAGAATTCACGATGGTTTCTGAAGTTTTCTAGGACCCTACAGCATCCATCACGGCACTCGCCCGCGCAACGCTCGCATCGAAACGGAAAGCGGTTCACAGCGTACGTCATGTTCCTAAACACATCTTTAAAAAAATGCTGATTTGCAGCGATGCACTTTACGATCATCATTTTAAAGGGAGAGTGCAGCTCAGTCGTTGCTAAATAGAACCGTAAATTCCCACGGGCACTGGTAGTAGCACTGGACATGGTCTTTCCAGCGATCCGGTCGATAGTTGTAGAGGCCACTTCCGCATTTTTTGCAACCATTCCTGAAAACTCCAAATTTTCGAGTCACACAGGAACAGGCCCGTACGGGAGCCGAGATTTCGGGGGGGGGGCACCCACCCAAAAATTTTTGGCGACCTCCCCCGGTCGCCACTTTTAAAACATTCGAAAATAGCAACAATAACAGCGCCGCAGGCGAAAAAAATGTAGAAAACCGCGTTTGTAACGCTTAAAATCGTGTGAAAACACATCGGAAACGGCGCGCGCAAGCGAAATTTTGTTCAGCAATGATGGTGCACTAATGAAAACGAGCGCCGGGCAATTTTTAGAAAATGGTTTTCTAGAAGTAAAAATCGTTTCGAAACAGTGATAACAGCGCCGCAGGCAGAAAATTTTTGCGAAAACATAAGGGTCCCCCCTTATAAACTTTTCAGACCTCGACCGATTTCGGGGCACCGCCCCGGTGCCCCCCTCGTACTGGGCCTGCACAGGAAGCAGGGAAATAGAACTTAGGGAACTAGGGGCAAGGAGCTGATGCTGAGCACTGGGAGCTGGGAACTTCAAGCGGAGAACTAGAATCTGAGAGCATCAAGCCGAGAAATAGTAGCCGGGAGCTTCGAGCTGAGAACTGCGAGCTGAGAGCTTAAAGTGATGATCGAAGAGCTAGGAGATCAAGCTGACAACTGGGAGCTGGGAGCTTGAAGCTGAGAACCAGTAATTGGGAGCTCCAAGCCGGCTGGGAGCTAGGATACGATTTCTACTGCGTGATAAATCTCGAGACCCCGACCCGCAGCTCATGCTCCAAAATTTAGCCACAGACTCCGAAATTTCAGGCCTCAAAGCCTGTAGTAAAAATTACCTATCGCACTCGCGACACCACCCCGGGCACTTGACGCATCTTTGATCGGTCTCGTCGTAGTAAAAGCCGCTGAATAAAATGGTAGCTTTTCATGCTTTGCCCCTACTTGTTGCAAAGGTTGGTGCACTTCTGCCGGCGACGCGTCCGGCTCAGGAAGTAGCCGACGTTGCACTGCTCACAGTTGAATTTTTGCTAAAAAATGGTCCAAGAAGTGCCATTTTTCAACCTTGTCTCCTGCGGTCACCATAGTTCCACACGTGGCGCAGTTTGGCAAGAATTTGTCACATCTCAGGCACCGTACTCCGGAAAGCATGGTGCCCCTAAAAACGTGATACTTTCAGCTCGAAGCTCTCAGCTCCTGCCCCCCATTTCTTGCCCAGATGCACACCTCGGACACTCCCTTAGAACGTAGCCGCACAACACGTTGTTGTAGTAGGGAAAGAAGCCCTGTCGACATCGGAAGCATTCCTGATGCAGTGATATTCTGCGTCGGGGTTAGACGCTTACTCCCTGGACCGCACAGAGCTGGCAGTTGATCGCACACATGCTGCACTGCGTCCCGTCTGCGTCACGGGCTGTTCCCCTAGAAAGGGTCTCTCTCTCTTTCGCTCTCCCTCTATCTATTTGTCTTTCTCTCTCTTTCTCTCTATCCCTGTCTGGACACAAGACTCTACCATGGGCAATATCCCTGTCGTGGCACCATTTGCAGTTCCTTCAAATCTGCATAGTTCCGGGGCAGCAGCAGATCTGCCGAAATTTTCGACTTTGGCTTGCAGGAGGGTTGTCGAGGGCTGAATTTGGGCAATTTTAGGGCAAAGCTAGGCGGAACACAAGACAAAAAGCTTGTCTCACGCGTAGATGTCGGGTCCTAGTTTATCATGAAGATAAATCCACACTCATTTAATAAGCTCGTCAATACCTTGTCAACGGATCGTCAACGGCAATGTTGACGTAGCCGAGCGGGCAGTAGAGACAACGATCCGACTCTTGTTCCAGACCCTCTGAGACGACGATACAAACTATACAAAACCACTCTAAACTACACCAAGCTCCATTAAATGACAAATTACCTTTTTTTTTAAAAATCCTCCGCCCAGATATCAGACAGTGACGGTCGTGCCATTCAAAGTCAACCTAAAAATCATCAAATTTTGTTTTCGACAAAAGTACCGTCGCGTCTTTCTCGGGATAATTCTTGAACGGGTTCCAGCACTTGTAGATGATCTCCACCAATTTATCCGGGCTTTTTTGGAGGATCGTTTTCGTGTGGGCGAACTTCATGACCGGGAACTCGTTGAAACTAAGTAAAATCAAAAGTAGAATTAGGTTCCTACTCGCTGCTGTAGATGTTGTCGACGTTCTGCCGGAAGCACGGCACCAGTCCGCCAGTTTCGGTACTGGAAATTGGAGGTTATAGAGAGAGGAAGAGAAAGAGAGCGAGAGAGAGTGAGAGAGGGAAATAGCAAGAGAGAGCGAGAGAGAGAGAGAGAGAGAGAGAGAGAGAGAGAGAAATTTCGAGATCAATTTACCCACAGCGGATATTTAAAGTCGGACACCTTGCCATAGTACGTCAAATTAAAGGGATGGTAGTCCTGAAGCGAAAGCTGGGAAAATCGATCATTTTTCGTACTAAAACTTCCAGAGCAGCACCGTCAAGGAATGGATGGTAGAACAGCAGAATCAAGCCGGCTCCAAGTCGAACGCCCATTCATCAACCGGGCAGGGCAAGTTATGAGATGCCACCAGGTAACCAAATTACGAGCTTGAAATGCGGATTCAAAAATCGCTCTCGCTTTTTGGGACTCAAACTCCAGCCGGTGCTCTGCTTCTCCTGTCTCGCTCTTGACTATCTTTCGCGCTCTCTCTCTTTCTCCCTCTCTCTCGCTCTCTCTCTCTTCCTCTTTCTCTCGCGAGTGAAGTCGATGTCGAAAGCTAATCGAACAGGCAGGCAAAACACATTTATCGAGCGGGGTAAATATTTCTGTTGAACGGTAATTGAAACGGTTGTTGATTTATAAGGATTTAAAGAGGTCGATCTGGATGGCGTCGACGAGTAGAGTCGAGGACCATCGAGTCGATCACCACTCGGTTCGATCCGGAGATCCATCGGGAGTGGGGCGAGGATTTTCGGCTTCATCGATTCGGGCTGCCTGAAAAATCGGGAGCATGAGAGAGAGAGCGAGAGAGAGAGAGAGTGCGAGAGCGAGCGAGAGGAACAGTAGGTACATCGAAAGCTAGCAAGTACGCGCCTCTTCAAAAAAGTACCATCGTATTCTCCGTGGTCGACGTCGTGCTCTTTGCCCTTGAACGCCTGGCAGCTGCTTTGTCCAGCTTCTCCTCATGCTCCCGGGGCACCTAAAAGAGTAGGTTAAAAGTTCAATACGCTTACCATCGTATTCTCCCCGGTCGACGTCGTGCTCTTCGGGCGTGAGTGCGAGCGCGTCGTGGTGGAACTCTGATTTGACGAGCGGTCGGGGCATTTTGGTGTTAGCTGAAAAGGTCGTACTCGAGAAGACACTTTAAAAATCACGGATGATTTTCAATAGAAAAACCAACGATCGTATTCTCGGTCGTCGACGTCGTGCTCCGGACATGTGAGCGCGAGGTCGACATGGTTTTCTTTGGCACTCTGCTCGACAAGCTGACAGGGAGCTAAAGAACTCGATAGATTTACGTGATAAAAACTGGCGATCGTATTCTCAGCCGTCGTCGTCGTGCTCTCGTACGGCAGCGAGTAGTTGGGCTTGTCGGGCTTGTTCGGCGGGATCTGAAGAAGTTCAGCTTTACGGAAAATAGTTTCATACCGTCTCCTCTGTCGTTAGACTCTCAGCGGGTACCGGCGCGGCAACTTCAAACTGTTCACGGGTAAGGGTTGGGATTTCTCGAGTCCCCGTGCCGGTGGTCGGCGTCTCGTAGGTGAACGACTGGGCTTCATCAGTAGCCACTCGGCTCTCTTGCGTCGTTGCTGTCTCGACTAAAATATCGGCCTGGCTTGACTGGCCAAAATTCAATTTGAAATCCAAGAAAATTCCAAAAAAATAGCAAAAAGGCTTACAAAATCAGTAGTCTCAATTCAATAATCCCTACAAGTCGGCCTTGTAGCAGTCACGTAAGTCGGGCGAGTGCTGATCGTCTTCTTTAGCCTCATGTTTAACCGGGCCCGATGGTGAAGCTGAAAATCCAAAGTTAAGCAAGCTCACGAAGGCTGCAATAAGGAGGGAACACATGCTAGTTCAATTTGTCAGAAATTTTTTCCAGAAACCCCCACATTTGGCCGGATGATGACGCGAGCCGAGTTGTAGCCGAATGCCCGGGGGTGGGCCGAGCTGGAGGTCGAGCCTGAAAAAGGAAGTTGCTCAACTCAAGCCAAACCACGCCAAGCGAAGCCAAGCCAAGCCGAACCTACCGACCCCAAAACCCCATAACGGCCCCCGCCCTATTTTCCCTTCGGAAACCCCGAAAAGCAAGGAAAACAGGGGGGGGGAGGGGGGAGATTCTTAATTAAGCCTTTTATTTGTTAATTTTATGTCAAAACCAAAGACAAACTGCTGATTTATGCGAGATCTGCCTAATTGCGAAATTCCTGATGAAAATTTCCCGGCTTTTTAGGAAAAACTTAAAAATCGATATATAATAGTTATAAACCTGAAAACGGAAACCCGCTTGTTTTCGCCCCTTTCCGAGACCCTTTCGATTGGTATAAAAATCATCCCGCCCGGGACGCGCTCGAGGGGGCTGGACACCCTTTGATGGCAAAAACCCCAAAACCCACTGGTCACCCTCAAAAGCCCGAGCACCGACGTCAGCAACGCGCGATTCCGGGAGCTGCTGCTCTTGCTCCTCGTCTTCCTCAGGTACACCCAAAGCTCGAGCTCAGCCCACGCTGCCTCGCGGATCACTCTGAAAAAAGCAATGCGACAGAATTGCGTGTATCCATTACTCTTCATAGCGCCAGCACAACAGCTCGGCGTCGTCGATCTCGCCGGTGAAGCGGGCTCCTAGAAAATCATTCTTATTTTAGCTAAAAAACAAATAAGTTACCGTAGACGCCCAAGAACTGAATGCCCAGGTAGATGCAGAGGAGGATCGGGACGCCAAGTTGGATCCATTTGTTGAAATCGTAGACGGTGCCGACGAATCCACCATGTTGGGTGAGGCTTGGCTGAAAAAAACGGAGTTAAAACGCGTAAAACCATGCTGTTTTCATCCATAAGCGGTCAAAACGCTCACCGGTTTCCGGTATCCAGGCCCCGCGTACGTGCAGACCTTGTAGCCCGGAATTGGCTCTTCCACGTAGTGATTCTCAGCGCAGAATTTGACGCAGCGCTGAAAAGTAACTTGTGCATCTTTTTTATAAAGTTTTCGTTAGATATTCAAATTCTGACCCCCTTCGGATCCCGAAAATTGCGGCATTTGATGCACTGGTCGACCGAGTCGCCGACACAACCGATACATTCTGGGTGGCAGGGGCGGCAGTAGCCAAGTTGGTCTTCGTACGTGGTCCTAAAAACGTCTATTTTCTGTCTCTGTCTCTGTATCTCGCTCTCCCTCCTCTCTCTCTCTCTCTCTCTCTCTCTCTCTCTCTCTCTCTCCCTCTCGCTCTCTCTCGCTCCACCGACTCCAAATGACAGCTGAAGCCGTGCATGTTGTTCTGCAACTCGTAGCACTCTTGTCGAAGATCTTCTTAAAATGCCAGGAGCCTCTAAAACGCATAAACTTAAGCTACCCTCCTCCGAAAGATCCGACTGCCAGTACATGGGCGACTGGGCGAGCAGCGCGTAGTGCTTGATGCTCATCCGGCTGTAGAACGCCAGCATTTTCGGTTTCTGAAAAATTCCGAGGTTCAGGAGTCAGCCAGTCAGTCATCTCTCACCCATCTGCACTTGTTGCACTTGAGCGGCTCGTCGCAGATGACGCAGCGTTGGAGGAGATCATCGCGAAAGGTCCCACTAAAGGTTCGAAAGTGCGGATAAGTACAGAGGGGTACTCCTTGCACTCGTCGACACAGTTTCCCCAGAGGTCCTTCACGTAGCCGGGATGGCATTTGGGGCATGGCTGAAAATGTCCTGTTGCTTCGAGTGGACTTTCAGCGCCGCGACACGCAACGCACACACATTTAGGTTCGCGTAAAAATTGCTAATTTTTTCGAATTTTCCAAAAATTTTGTATTGGCTTTCCGGCACTAAAAAATTTGTAAAAACACTGTAAAAATCTGTTTATGTAGATCCTCAAAACGTATAGCCCCCCACTAACAGTCCAGTACCAAAGACCAAAAAAACTCACATGAAAGAACGTCTCGGGATTGTTCGTGTCTGGATGCGGCCTTAGGCAGTTGTCCAGACAAGTGCTCGCATTACACCACGGCGCGTACTTCTCGGTCAGGCTGAAGATGATCTCAGAGTTAGGTAGCTTGCAACCCACTTTTTGTCCCTGTAGTACTCCTGCGCCTCCGTCCAGCTGTTGAACTCGCTGCTGAGGATGCCAATCTCCTGGCCGACGCCGAACGACTTGATCTTCACGTGCGTCGCTTCCAGGCTCATCTACAACAAATATTTATTTTTTTTACTCAAAAAATCTCCATTCGCTGACCAAATTGCAGAACCCCCTGCCCCGAGAATGCCAAAGAACCTGGCGATCGAAATGTGGCCTCAAATTCAGTACTGACCGCTTCATATGGACCCATAAGATGGACGAACTCGGAGCTAAAGCTCAGCGACAATAAGGTGAGCTGAATGGCGCTCAGTTGGAAGCACTTGGGCTGAAACAGCAGCAAAATTCTGTGGTATCAGAACAAAATATTACAATTAACCCCTTGTGGTTGACCGCGCCGTTTAGCCAGCACATGAAGCACTCTTGGCGGGAGGGGCCATCTGGAGCAAAAAGCTTGAGGTATGCTTCTGGATCCTACAACATCCACTACGACACTCTGGCGCACACGGCTCGCATCGGAACGGGAAACGGTTGACCGGGTACGTCCAGTGGCTAAGAAAGTTTTGCACCTTTGCAGTTTTTTAAGATTTAATCCTTTTCAGATTTTGTTTGTTCTTGCCAAAACTATACTATTTTAGATTATGTTGGAGCTAAAATTAATACTTGTCGTTCTATGCCAGAACAAAGTTGTGTTCAAAATCGCTCTAAAGATGTGTTGTTTTTGAATTTAATAGTATTTTAATTGAATTTAGAATTTGTATAAATTTGCGGAGCAAGAATGCTAATAGTGTTTTTGTTAAACTTTGGTGGAATTTCAAGCGGAAAAAAGGGTAAAATTTTTGAAAAACTCTTAACAATATTCACATAATTTGTAATTCTGTTCCACAATAAGTTAAAAAAATCTGAAAAAAGGAACCTAAGAAAAGTTCTTTCTCCCGTGAGTGCAACTGAATCTCCTTTCTGATGCTCGAAACCCCCTAAACACAAAATTCCCTACGGGCAGTGGTAGTAGCAGGTGACGTGGTGCGAAGGGTGGGCCGTGCGTAAATTATAAAGACCACTTGCGCATTTCCGGCAACCATTCCTGAAAAAGAGGTCGGTGAATCCGATCTCCAAAACCTACATGTCACACTCCCGACACCATCCCGGACATTTTTGGCAGATTCCGGCAGTCGTGTTGAAGTAGAAGCCTCTGCAAATATCAAAAAATCATCTAAGATTCAGCCGTACATGTTGCAAAGCCTGGTGCACTTTTGCCGGCGGTGCGTTCGGCTCAAGAAGTAGCCGGGCCGACACTCTTGGCATGCAAATTCTTGCTGGAAGTGGGTAGAAGCATGCAATTTTGTAATGAACTGTTGAACCTTCTTTTGTCCGATCGGGGTCACGCCGCAATGGACGCAGTTGCGCAGGAATGTTGAGCACTTGATGCATCGGATCCCGTAGAGCATCGAACCACTTTAAAAAGTTGATTTTAGTCGGTACTTCGACCGCAACGCATGCAGCAGCTTATGAAAGAAAGGCTCAAACGCCGAAACACGGACGCCAGGCAGCTGATTAAAGGCAAAGCCAAGAAATTCACCTTGGGCAGTGATGAATTTGCAGCGGAAATGGAGCACTGATGCAAGCGGAATTGTCGTAGGTCGGCTGGTAGTCCTGTCGGCATCGGATGCATTCCTAAATCGATTGATTTATGCGCCGATCGATCCAGAAATGAAGTTGCGTGACCGGGTATTTAAGGTATCAAGCTATCGGTGTTATCATTGTCGAAGTCCTTTAGCAAATTTACCCCCTTAACGGCACACAGCTGGCAATTGACCGGACAGCCGATGCATCTGGTTGGCTCGGTCACGTCTCGCGTCGTACCGCTGAAAAGGCAAATTTTTTAAACGAATGGAACGAACGAATTAGGTCCCCAGGAATTCTAAAAATCCTAAAATTTCGCCAAAGAAACATGCTCAACAACATCTCTCGTTTATTAAAATTACTATTACTTATTAAAATTAGTTCAAAAGCTGACGGCAGATGAAAAGTTAAGACGAGAAACTTAAAATTTCGGCGGATGCGAGAAGCGGATAAACTAGGCATGGCCAATTTTATTTGGGTTTTAATAAAATTCTATTTGGTAAGAGTCTAGAAAACCCCCCTTTTGTTCCCCCCTGTGGGGGGCCAAAATATACCAAAATGTTCGCGTAGGTAATTAGTAAGATTATTTTAGTGAAAGTAGGGGGAAAAAAAAAAGGGGAGGTGGGAAAGTTGGAAAGTCGGCTGGCGGGGGTTTCCGAGCCTTCTATTTTACTCTAAAAGGTCGCTTGGAACACCGTAAATGCTGCTAAAATAATTAGCAATTGAGACGATTACCTAGGACAATACCCCTCGCGCGGCACCAGCTCGATCATCTGCAGCTCGGGATAGTTCCAGGACGGCTGGGTGATTTTCTTGACAAATCCAGGTATCGGCCGGCAGGAGGAGTCGCGTGGCCTGAAAGTTTCAATGTGCCGGCCGAAATCCGCATCCCGCTACATCATCGGTTCTTCACCAATGGCAATGTTTTCGTAGCCAAGCGGGCAGTCCAGGCATCGGTCCATCGCGTTTTCGAGGTGTTCTGTAGGAAATTGATTGAATTTAAAAGAAAAATTTACTTGAAACCAGGCAATGCCGGTCTTGCCATTCGTAATCGACCTAAAGCAATGGTTTCCAATGCTTTTCTAGGCTGTTTCAAACCGTCTGCGAGCCGTTCTGAAACGGGTCCCAGCACTTGTAGATGAAGTCCACCCGCGTTTCGTCTTGGGAATACGCCAGCTTCATGACGGGGAACTCGGTGACGCTAGAAAAATATGAATAAAAAGATTTACATAATTTCTACTCCAAGTTGTAGAAGTCGTCGACGTTTTGCCCGAAGCACGGTACCAGGCCGCCAGTTTCGGTGCTAGAAATTGAAGTTAGACAGAGCGGGAGAGGGAGAGAGACGGATGGAGAGCCAGAGATAGAGCGAGTGAGAGATAAATGGAAGGAGAGAGTGGGGAGAGAGAGACAAAAGAGAGTGAGAGAGAGCGTGAGATTAAACCCACAGCGGAAAATCACAATCCCGGACGACGCAGCTCTTCGACAACGAGAAGGGCGGATCGCTCTGAAGGAACCAGTTGATAATGCTAAATTTGCAGACCAAAGACCCCAAAACCGGATGCTGGAATAGCAGGATGAAGCCGGCGACAAGTCGTGTACCCATCCATCAAACGTGTCGAGCGCGAAGGTGTGAATTTTTTATGCCGACGACCCAAAAAAAAATATGCAAAATTTGTAATCAGAACTGAGATTTAAATCAATAATTGTAAAATGTTTTTACATAGGCTAGAAATTCCATTCTGGACTATCTTGTGCAGAATTTTTCCCTGATTTCGAATCTATTTTTTAAATCTGCGGAGGAACCCGATTTCAAAAGTTACAGCTATTTTGTTATAAATTGGCCCAAGATGGGCGATTTTAAATCCCTCTAAAAATCTAGCAAATGATCAATGGGCCATCTCACGGAACTGTAACTCAAAATTTTCTAATTTGGCTACTTTTTCAACTCATGCCATCCCTGCGAAAATTTCAAAATTTCGCGCATGATAGCTCATGCGAAAGAGCATATTTTCTGCACCATATGCGCTAAATACTTGTTACAAAATATCTACTCTCGAATTTTTACAGGAGTCTAAACTTTTTGGCCGTTTTGGGAATTTTTCGCCCTAAGTTGCGCTGTAATGGCTTCAAAATGTCGATTAAGCCACTTTGGAAAACAGATTCGAAATCAGCGCAAAATTCTGCCCTTGCTCTTGCTCTTGCTCAAAACTGAGGTGCGACCCAGAATCGTGCTCGGGAATAAGTCACTTCTTTTATCTTACCAAATGGAAAACCAAAACATAGAAAAAAGAAATAAGCGAGCTGTGATAATGGTTGACAACTTTTCTCATTAAAAAAGGGGGTGTTGGTGGGTGTAATCAGCTGGGTTTTATCAAAACAAAATGGGGGAGGGGTGGAATTAATGATTCGAAAAGGTTGTAGGACGGTAATTAATGGTTTAGGTTGGAGCCATTGAAACGACGGATAATTGCGCGGGCATCTTGCGCGGATAAATAATTTGGAGGCTATTGGCGGCTGTCGGGGGCAAGGCTGGCACGCTGCCTTTTGCACACACGCGGTTTCCCGCCTGTGGCTGACAGTGAGTGCACTTATTTTGCAATAGGAGTAGCATGCTTCCGCACGTGGCAGCAAGTCGTATCGAGATGATGCGGCCGTCCACAGAGCCGACACGATTTTGTCGGCTCCTTGCGCTCTTTCGTGACGGGGTTCTGGACTCGCGGAGTCTCTGGAATGTATTCTCTAATTGTAAAGTGTTTTTACTCAACTTAGAGTTTCGATTCGGGACCAAGAGATAGGGTGAGAGAGCGAGAGAGGGAGAGATAGAGAGAGAGAGAGAGAGAGAGAGAGAGAGAAAGAGGGAGAAAGGGAGAGGGAGAACGACGGCCTGAAGCGCTTGATGACGCTCGGCCGGACAGGACTTCCCAGCATGTTGCAAAAACCTTTTTCGACTTTTAAAAGCCACAATCAAATAGAATGTCCATTGAAAAATAACAGATAGAGGACAAATAGGATGTAGGTCCATTGAAACTGATATAAAGATAAACCAACCTTAATCCTTCATTTTCGTTTTTCCCACTTCTTAAATCACCAGATGGTTCCAGTCGCTTCGCGACTGTAACCATCTGGCCTTCGGGCTACCCTTCATGCAATCCACTTAAAAACCTACCTAAATACCTCCCTCATAGCTTTAAATACCCCCCATGGCTGAAATCCCCCTCAAAAACTACTTCGATACCTCCCTGATGGCTTTAGATACCCCCCATGGCTGAAATCCCCTCAAAACTACTTGATACCTCCTGTGGCTTTAGATACCCCCATGGCTGAAACCCCTCAAAACTACTTCGATACCTCCCTGTGGCTTTAGATACCCCCATGGCTGAAATCCCCCAAAAACTACTTCGATACCTCCCTGTGGCTTTGATACCCCCATGGCTGAATCCCCTCAAAACTACTTCGATACCTCCCTGTGGCTTTGATACCCCCATGGCTGAATCCCCTCAAAACTACTTCGATACCTCCTGTGGCTTTAGTACCCCCATGGCTGAACCCCTCAAAACTACTTGATACCTCCCTGTGGCTTTAGATACCCCCCATGGCTGAAATCCCCTCAAAACTACTTCGATACCTCCCTGATGGCTTTAGATACCCCCATGGCTGAATCCCCTCAAAACTACTTGATCCTCCTGATGGCTTTAGATACCCCCATGGCTGAATCCCCTCAACTACTTCGATACCTCCTGTGGCTTTAGATACCCCCATGGCTGAAATCCCTCAAAACTACTTCGATACCTCCCTGATGGCTTTAGATACCCCCATGCTGAAATCCCCTCAAAACTACTTCGATACCTCCCTGTGGCTTTAGATACCCCCCATGGCTGAATCCCCTCAAAAACTACTTCGATACCTCCTGATGGCTTTAGATACCCCCATGGCTGAAATCCCTTTAAAACTACCTTATACCTTCCCGTGGCTTTAGATGATTTAAATAATTAATTAACATAATTAAAAGTATTAAAGTATTAAGTAACTTAAAAAAGCTATCTGGGCGTGGGAAGGGGCCTGGGGAAGAGGGGCGAATGGAAAGGGGGCGTGGCCTCCCGGGAAAGGGGCCCCCACTAGTTTTATTAAGGCGCCACTTTCAAAGTTAATTTTAATAATTTAAACTAACTTTTCGTAATTTTTTTTCAGTTTGGGGTTTCTGACCACGCTCTATCCGAATCCGAAGAGAGCTAAGCTCTAGCTCCTTTCCCCTTCGAGTTGAATTCGGCTTCACACAGACAGACGGACAGAGACCACAGCAAAATTATTTTAGTTGATTTTCATAAATAGAGCCGGCGGACGAGCATCTCGACTCCGGTCCGATCCCCTCTGCAACGAAGGCAATCATAATAACCTTGGAAAAATTATCCAAGTTGAGGCTGAGCCTGCAACGAAATGTAGAGGTAAACGCACAAGACCGGGGGATCGAAGTGTGGTGCAAATGAAATAGAAAAAGACGGTGTCTTTGAGGAGGGGCCAGAGAGAGAGAGATAGCGAGAGAGAGTGAGACATAGAGAGACAGAGTGAGAGCCTGGGAGAGAGCGAGAGATAGAGAGAAAGATAGAGAGAGAGAGAGAGAGAAAAGAGAGAGAGGGAGAGAGAGACAGAGAGAGAAAAATTGCACAAATGATGAGTGAAGTTCAGTCAATGCTATTGCAATAAGATAATGTGGATTTTCAGAGTGTGCAAGGATTGCACAGTGATCATCGAAAAGGTGCTCGATTAACAAATTAAATGCACAAATTTATCAAAAAAAATATTTTAACTTTAGGTACAGAAGATTCGAAAAAGCTCTGATCGCCAGTTTGTGGGTGCTAGGGACTTCGTGGTGACCGTGGGGAATAGTCCCAATTAGGTAATCCTTTGCGCAACCCTACCCGCCCAATTTCGCACCTAACCTTGTCATCTTACCCGTCCACTGACATTTGGCGGGGTGGTCTCGCGACCCAAGCCTTTGATGTTTGTTTATTTTAGATATTGAGGATAATGTCTTTTTTTTGGCACCGTTGTTGGCCAAGCTAGGAAAGCCATGTGATTTTTGCTATTTGATGTTTCTCATAAAATTTTATCCACTTTATTCCGGAGGGTTTGAGGCAAAACCGTAGGGTCAGAGAGGCGAAAAAGGAGCTTCCCCTCGTGCGGTCCGGGAAGTTTTTCGAAGTATCCTTCAAAAGAGCTATCCATTTGCCCTATAGTGCATATTTGCATTTTGCCAAAAAACTAAAGCGGGAATTAGGCTAAAAAGGTGAAAAAGCAAAAAGTCTGATGAGAGTGGGATTCGAACCCACGCCTCCGGAGAGACTGGTGCCTTAAACCAGCGCCTTAGACCACTCGGCCATCTCACCATGAGGACGGGGCAGTCCCAAGGGGTATATCCCCGAGAGCGGGGCCAGTCTCCCGCTGGGGTGCTCATTGTTGGCATGTGTTAGGTAGCCAATAAAAAGCCGAGCTGCCAGATTGGTGTTTTGGACTCAAATTCTGAGAGCATGGAAATTTAATAACTCGTAAGAACAATGCAAGCAA